TAAGACTAATTTCCACAAATACTTTATATCCATCGGTAATAACTAATTTTCTGACTGCTACAAATCCGTCAGAAAAATCCATCGAAATAAACGATTTTCTTGTAGTGTGTGAACTAAACAACATATGATATTTCATATGAAAATTTTATGTAGAACAAAGGTGATGACGTTCTATTTATTAAATATTCAATTGTTGAGACAAATTAACCCAAAAAAAACATGTTGTCTTTCAACTCAATCATTTTGTTGAATGTTCTTATATAATATATTTGAAAAATAATGTCAAGTTTAAGAGGCATTGTGACAAACCTATAAATTTAGTTTCATTCTCATTTCGAATTATTTTCATTTATTTTTTCATACTATTTTCTACCAAAGTAACAAAATTCAACATGACTCTAGAAACTTCAATTTTATCAAGTAAAAAATAAATCCAAATAGCACATGAATAATCATCATCTATAGTAAAAAAAAAAAAATTTATCGTAACATGATGGAATTTGATAGGATCCTCAAATAAAAATGGATTAATTCCAACTAGTAAATTTATTATCACACTTAGAAAATTAATTCTATTTTGTTCTCCGTTGTAAACATTCTATTCTTCTTCTCAACATTTGATACTATTGTATAATCTTCAAAAAGAAATGATTCATCCACCCGTTCCAAAGTCAATACAAATCCTTTATCAAGTTTGAACATTTTCTCATGTCAAAACCCTTTAAAATAATAAAACTCATACTTTTATTCACTCAATCCAATCAACTTTGTGAGATCTTGAATAACACGTAGTGAATTGAGTCATATAATTTAATTCATTAAATTGTTAAGACATTAATATTATAGTATATTGTAATCTAGATACATGTAACACAATGGTTAGTTTTATCTTTTTTTCAAGTTACACTTCCTTAGTTAATTGTTCCAAGTTGTTATTCATCTAATATTCTCCTAATACATCTTTTGCACGGTTATGAGAGTTTTAAATTTATTGTCATATGATTGAAAATTCTTGTGTCAATAATCTATGTTTCTTTACCTGATCATATAAATTTTGATTTTAATATTATCTTAGAAATAAATAAAAAAACACTTTTTTGAACAATATTTCAAAATAGATTAAGTCTAAAATCTTGACATCCAAATTTTTATCTAGGGGTAATAATAAAAATATGGATGGTTCAATAAATAATAAATTGGTTGTTGTTTGATCCATTGTTTATAGAGCTTTCTTTTTCATGCTATTTTCATTTTCATATGTTACAAATTGAAAGGGTATGATCAAGAGGAAGAGAAGGAAACATTTTATGTCTCAAGGTCACTATTTATCTATAAAAAATATATTAGTTTTCTAATTCGTTTTTATTATGTATCAATTTGAGATTCATCTTTTATTATTTATTTTATTATATAATGATGGTGACTTTTTTTCAAATTACAAGATTTCTCATAAATGATGTAATAAATTAATTATTTAATACATAATAATCAATATTTTGAATATCTATTATTTTTTTTAATGTAGTCAGTTTAGAGAAATAATAACTTTTATTTCATAAAATACATCGGCACCATATTTCTAGATATGTACTAGATTTTTTTTTTTTTTTTGTGCGAGTCAATTATAAGAACATATTATAAAGAGGTAGGTAAAAACGCTCCTAATAATATGATGTTTAGTTTAGGTTTCAAGTTGTATCTTAGCGTGGTTGAGTTAATTTTGCCAAAATAACTTGCTAAAATATTGACATCTATAATACACTACATAGTATGCCACTATAATATTTTTGTCCCATTTTTTAGGAAGAGTTGTGATTGTTTCATCATTAGAACTAGATCTAAGAATTATCTTGTATGAGTTATCATGAACCAACAAAAATACGCTAATCTTACCCAAGAGAATGAAACGAAAATATGACTTCAAAATATATGGTTTGTCATATAATATCTTAATGAAAATCTCCTCATATAATAAGAGAGAACATAAACAAATATTAGATTAACTAACAAAATATAATAAATTCATTAAGTTTAACCAATTGGAATAGGGCTCCATTCATTCATTAGAATTCTAAAAATGTCATTATTTTTTAATTTTAAAGATATAATAATTATCACTTCATATGATAAGAAAGTAAAATTATTATTATTTAAATAATTTTAAATATCAAAATTTTTTATAATTTTACAAATTAAATTGATTAATGCTTATGCTTTGAGTAATCAGTTTATAATTTTATTAAGTATTTCGTTACAATTAATTTTTATAATGTAGAATGTTTAGGATGTATCAAATGAATTTGAGAAAACAAACTTATTCTTTTTTTAAATGAAGGCATTTCTTAACTTTGACTAATCAAATTTGTTTTATTTTATGAAAAAAATGTTTTGTTTTAAAATATTTTATTAAACTTTATTTTAGTGTTTATAATAAAGTTTTTTATTTATTTGATTTGTGTATTTTAACAACTTCGTTTAAAGCGTCCTTGTTAGTAACATAAGGGTAAATATTTATTGTATGTAGTAACCGGAATTATATAATGTAAAATTATACTAAGCACTAAAAAACTAAAGACATTTTGTATGAAAAGAAACTAATTTAAGATTTCTTAATGTATTAAAAGTTGTACCAAGTGATTCGATAATGTCACATTAATCATATAAACACAACATATGATTTTGCTCTAATGATAGAATTTTCAAAAACTTAATAAATTCACACATTTTGAAACAATCATGATGAAGAAATGGTTTCTTGTATAAAAACTATATTGTCACATATTTTATTTAAGAAATATGGAAGAGATACTATTATAGATATTATAAATTATATTACCTTATTAAATATTCTTCATTTGTTTTATTTTCACTTCTTCTTCTTCTTTTTTACTATTTTTATTTATAATAATAAATATAATAGTTTTATTTCTTTTATTTCCTTAACACGCAATAATAATGTGTTTAGATTATTCATAACAATTTTTATAACCTTCTAATTTTCAAATTTTTTTATGTTCAAGTATCATCTCTCCATGTTGATCACTCGATAAATATTTTTAAATTAAAAAGAAATAACACCAAATATAAAAGTAATGACATTTGCGATTTAAATAAAAAATAATAATGTATTCAAATTTTAGCTAGAATGAGTATGATTAAAGTTGAAAACTACAAATAAATGTTAAATAATACATGTAAATGAAAGTTATTAAATTATTCAAAAAGTGAACGGTTTAAGAAGAGTATTATAATTATAGATCAAACAGATATTTAAGAAAAAAAGAAATATCACCAAATTATTAAATTTAAATTGATATTTATCAACATTAAATTTTAATTAATAGTTAACTAACTCACTTCAATTAACAGTTGATTTTTAATTATTATTTTTAAATCCAAATTTGGTTAGAATTTAGGTGTGAAAATAAAAGTCTCACCTAAAAATAATGAAGTTGAAAAAGATATAATTTAGAAAAATTACAAATCTATAATTTTAAGCTTGTGTTTAGATGTGAAAATGGATCTGAGGGACTGAATTTAAAAGTTAAAAGACGTAAAAATGAAATTGTTTAGATCAAGAGAAAGATGACAAATGAAAGAAAATAAAAAGAAAGTTTATAAAAATGTGTAATGAGATGATTGATTTAATAAATTAAAAAATAAGTAACAAATAAATGAATAATTAAAAATAAATTTATTTATTTTTTATAACTTTATTTATTATTTTTTTAATTATTTATTGTAATTATATATATTTTTAAAAGAGTTATTATATATCTTGTATTAGATTATTTATTAAATAATACTTTCTCTGTCTTTCTTTTCTTAAAGAAGAGATGATTTATTAAATAGTAAGAGATTATTATTAAAGGTATTTATGGTAAAAAAAATGTTTCTAGAATTAAAGTGTGAGAACAAAAGTCTCACAATTGATAAAACAGTAAAATTAAATAACATATAAAAAAAATACCCATAAATTTATTATCTTAGATTTTAGATTAATAGTGAGATTATATTTGTATGATTATCTTGTCATTATTAAATCCAGGGACGATCTTCCTCTAAACATTACTCACATAAAGTTAAAATTTGCCTATGTTAATACAAATTATTATTTAAATTTAATATATATATATATAATCTTTTATTAATTTTATACATGTTCTCAAATACCCTAAATTTTTATATTTATTTATTTTCACTACATATTAATATTTATATTTTAAAATTTATATTTTTTTCATTATCCCGTTTAGTGTCATATTTATATTTAAAATAAAATACACTCCTTATTCACTTCTTTGGTTATTAAGCTCTGTAATGTGATTTTCATTTTCATACATCACAAATTAAACGAATGACTTTTTTTAAGTTAAATTATTAATATATTATACATTTTCATAAATAAGAAAGAAAAGGAAATTTTATATTCAAGAATCACGATATCAAATTGTCCAAAAAGACTATTATTTTCTAATTCATTATTATTATATATTAATTTGATATTCATATTTTATTATATAATTATAATGATAATTTTCAATTTTAAAATTCAATTTGAATAATGTTAAGGTTTCTTAAAAGTTGAATATAATAAATATTATTTAAAACAGATAATTAATGTTTCAAACATCTATATAAAAGTTATATCTTTTGAAAAATAATGACCTTCTATTTCATCTCTTAAGCAAATACTTTTTTAAAAGTTAATTCCAAACTGTACTGTATTATTTAATACAGTACATAAATTCTAAATTCTGGTTAGTGATACCCCAAGATTTCATCTTCATCCTTGTCATTAGTGATGCCTCAAGATTCCATCTTTTGTTTTTCAGTTTGTCAATAAGGATAGTTTCCCTGATGCAAATATGTAGAGCTTGACATTTGGCAAGCTTCACTTAAGCTAACAGGTTGAGCGAAAGAGGTAGTGCATGGAGCATATTATAGACAGGACAATGCGCTCCCAACAGTCGAAACAAAAAATATGGCATGGACTATCTCTACAGTTGAACTAATTTTGCCAAAATAACTAAATCTAAAATCTTGACATCCAACGTGTCATCTACTTTTACAATTCCATCAGTTCCGTCCACACCAATCAACTTACCCGTGGCACCTCGCAATGCCCCACCCATTATCTTTATTTTATCTGATTTTTTCGGTATCACAGCCTCCATTTCATTGGGAAGGGCTGTGATCGTTTCACCATTACCACTAGCTCCAAGAGCTACCTTGTACGAGCCATCCTGAATAAACAAAAAATGTTAACGTCAATAATATCATTAAACGGATACCAAGAGAATGGAAGGACAAAACGGCTTCAAAAGATATCGTTTGGCATATCTCCTCGAATAAACCTAAAGGAACATGTTTCTACAAACAAACAAGTTACTAAGTCACCATACCGGAAGAACCTCCCTTATAACTCCAACAGATTCGTCTCCCGCCCTGTGTACGTTGACTAATATATCTGGTATAAACCATGGCCCTTCATTGTCCCCACCTACAAAAAATTTAACCAGAAAATTGGTGTAAAATTGCATGAGAAGTACATTTTAAATTTGTAAGGATCATCCAATCAATAAGTGGTAATGTAACAGGTCCAGGGTTATGCTTGTTACAAAATAGAAAGGTTAACAATTATCTTATGGGATGTCTATGGTAGACACGATACAAGATATGGCGGTTGAGCTAAAACCATCGTAATATAAATACAAATAATTGAAGAAAAACAAAATCTACACAAATTAGCCAAAATGAATAGCAGCAAGAGATATATAATATTTGAACCAGAATAAGCGCACTATCTTTGACTATCAAATGAGACGAAAAAACAAAAATGGCAAACCAAATACTATCTGTGTACGGAGTAGTAACCATCTACATTGTGTATGCAACAAAAAAGTGTAGAATAACAATTAAGTAAGACACCTACCACTAAAACAAGATATACATAATAAACTTGTCTGTCATGGACAGAACAAACTTACCTAAAACTGGAGACATCATATCCATACCACCTGTGCCTGGAGTCATAGGCTGTCCACCAGGAGTGCCAGGAAGATAAGATGCTGAACTTGGTGTCATAGGCTGTCCACCAGGTGTTGATGGTAAATATGGACTTGGAGCATTGGCTGCAATACAATGCCATCCACAGAATAGAGTATTAGCATAAGAATAAAAACTATATATACACTGTTGTTTTGAAGGAGTAAGAGGTAGTGCTACCATAGGCAGAACTGTCCCGAGGTGTTCCCGCTTCACTATAATTTCCACCCGGTGTGTTAGCCCAACCAGCACCAGGAGTTGGGGCTTCATATGGTCGTGATGGAGGGCTTCCAGGCTGAAAAGATGAAAAAGGGAAAAGAAAATAAATATGGCCCCTCACATTAAGTTGCATATAGTATCTCAAGTTAGCTAAATCTCCAGACCTGATACTGTGGACTGGCTCCCCAAGAACCTGGATTTCCATCTTCCCAATTGTCCCTGATTTCATTTTCAGGGTCAGAATTTATACATCACATATATACCAACTTAATATTACTGCACACTGTAAAGAGGTAAAATTGTTTTGAACTACCAAATTCCTTATACCCTCAAGTTCTAGTAGCCTCTACTTGAGACATTAATGTCTATTTAAAAGTTGGTTAACTTGGACAATTTTTTTAGTTTTTATTTGTTATCTTTTCTTGTTCAATAAAATACATTAAAATTGGTCCCGCGTACAAAATGGAAGGAAGAAACCTTTTTATTAAAGAAGAAACTATGCAAAAAAATAAATCATATAAAGTTCAACAAGGAATAGTGATAATTGGACAAACCTTGGAGGACTCATTGGAGTATAAGGATTCCATGCTCGGTCACGCATAGGTGTCCTCATTCCATCATGAATAGGTGTTGCTATGAATAGCAGTACATTTATCAATTACCAATTATAACAATCAGATAAACAACAGGCTTGGCGTTAATCCTACAAAATAATTGAAATGAAAATCTATAACAATAAAATCAAACAAACCTCCAGGATCTCTCATTGGAGTCATATATGGGTGTAAGGGAGTCCGAGAAGGATGCATTGGGGTTTCACTTCCCATTCCATAGCGAGATGTATCACTGGAAGAACACATAAAAGTCAAATTGTTGATCTTCTAATGCATACTTCGAATCACAAATCATATGCACATATAACTTACCGATATGGAGTTATAGCCACGTTATCAGATATATGGTTGCGGTCAACTGCAAATCACCAAGTCAGCAACCATGGAAATACTGAAATACATGCAATACAGGTGTTTTCCCACTAAGAAGGCATACCTGTTACAACCTTCATTTGAGATTCCAGTTCAACTCGAACTGATGTGCCTTTATCGTCTATAACACGACCACGGTAACCTTTATAGGGACCCTGACGTACTTTCACAGTTGTACCGGCCAAACCATCATGCCCCCTCCCGCCCCTATGTCTCCCTCCAGCTATACCACATCCAAATAAATTAACATCAGAGAAGCTTCTTAAAAAAATGCACAAATAAATGATAGACTGGTTCCTTGTTCCAAGATACAATACATGAAAATTTTGGACATACAATTCATTGGCCCTCCGCGAGGAAACCTCCTCGGGGATGGTGGAATACGATTTGGACTTCTTAGGGAAGGAAATCTTGAGTAGGCATCAACCTAAAAGAAGAAAGGAATGAATTATGCAAATAGCTATCAAAACACTAAAACTAAAATTAAAAAAAATCATACAAATTAAAATAGGAAAATTGGTTACATTTCTGTCACCACTGGAGCGTGAACCTCCCACAACTACACATGATTGTGCCTTAGCACATATAAAGCCTGCATGTTCAAGATGATGGCGATCAAAGATGAACAAGATTCCTCTATATATGTGTTCCACAGGGCCTTGTTTCCCCTAGCCAAAAAACCAAACAAAATAAATAAATATGAACAATATTATCTTTCAAAAAATAAATATAACCAAAAGACAGCATCTCACTTTGCAGGGACCATCAACAATCCGGACAACATCCTTTGCTGATACTGTATTCTTAAACCGATCCTGCACACTTGTTTTCTTATCTATCTTACACTTGATCTCTCTTAATTTAACAAGCACAACTTCAGGTCTGTCAGGAATCCCCTTGAGAACCTAGAAGGGCAATAAGGCCAATAGGTATTAATAAAATGACACTCAAAATTTTAATATAATTTACAATCCTTAATAAGGTACTGACCTGAAATGCCTCACTTTCTACACGTATTATCACACCAAAGCTCATATTACTGCACCATATTAAATAGAAGTAAGCAAACTTTGAACCATATCATAGAGGTTCATAATCTCAAGCAACAGAAAAGGCTTACTCTAGCAATACAAGATCACGAAGTTCATAGTCCCCAATTCTTGTAACTCCAGTAGTTACTTCTGAACTTTCTACAACATCATCTGCAAATACACGAATCTAAAGAGAGGATAGTTTTATGTCATTTCTGCACCAAATGTAATTAGAAAATAGAAATTATCAAATCTTTCAGCAAATCTATATGTAGTCTAGAAAACTCACATGCTCTTTTGTTGTATCAGATATTAAGATCAAGACATGCTGCTCCACCTTCACAACCATGCCTGTAGCCCCCTCTTGAGCACCAGAAACAACCTTAACGTGGTTTCCAGGTTCAAAATATTTACAAAGTTCCTTTTCATTTACAGCAATAGTTTTCTGACAAAATGAAAATATGATAATTAGACCATCATGAAAACACTTAATATTTGTCATCAATATGCAAAACTGGCAGTACAAGGAACCAAACCATACTTACTGGAAGTCCCTCTATTTCTGGTTTTATATGAACATTATCTTCATCAACTTTCTCCACCTTCCCTTTCAAGTTCTTTAAATCACCCTTGACGACAATGACGGCATCACCTTTCATAAAGTGCCCTTTCTTTCTGTTTGCAAACAAAGTAGAAAGACTCGCTACATCACCATCTCCACTCTCACCCGGTTTGCGAAATTTTTCAAGCTCATCGAAAGTAGGTTTAATGTTCTGAGCACTAATGGATTTTATTGAAACAGTTTTGTATAAGAAACCATCTTTGAACATCATGCCTCCAATTGCATCAAATCTTTCACCATAGGCATCGCGTCTATGCTCGACACGGATATGCAGTTCCCTTAATATAAATATAAATTTGATCAGACTAAGAACAGATTTCCAAGAAGCAGAAGATTTCCAGAAACAGAACAGAGAGAACCAACAATACCTTGCTTCATCAACATTCATAAATCGAGGAGGAGGAACGAAAGCCTTCTTTTTCACAACTTCCCTACCTTCCTGAATGATACAATTGATTTGTATAAAAATACAGATTTAGGCTATTTGAACTAGTGAATTCAAACATTGTCCAAATAGAATAAATTAATTTAACAAAAAACTGCAACATTCCATACCAATTTGTTTGCAAGAGCCTGAAGGTCTATCCTTGGAATTAATTTGACAGTAACCCTCTGCCGTACATTATCGACATCCACTACCTATCGAAGACATATTTTATGGTAAATAAAGAAAACAAACTGGATGGTATCATGAATTTTCTTGAATGTCATTACATACTTTGGCAAGGTCCCCTTTATATGTCCCGATCTTCATTCTAACCCAAGTATCTCTAGCAAGATCAATTGCTTTGCTTTCAACTGACAGAACATCAGTCATTTCTCTGATTGGAACAAGGGTTATTTTTTGACCAAATATATTGCGCAGACCTTTACAAGCCTGAAAACATATTCAAAATATTTTAAAACACGTACAATTTAAAAAAAAATTCAAAACACCAACAATTTATTCCATAAAGACCTGGCTATTTATGAACCAGATCTTTTAAATGACATTACCTCTCTGACATGGGCTTCTTTATCTGCTTCCACATATATATAGTTTTTGAGATGATCGAGAGCAATAGCTGATCTGATTTGCAATTCAGATCCCCTGTCAATGTACTTTTGCATGAGGCAAACAGCTGTTTCTCTCTCACGACCAATCTAACAAACAAAAACAAAGAATACATGATATGCTCTTATATCGCTGAAATAAAAAGGAAATTATCACAAAAGGGATAGGAACATACTGCACACTTGACCATCCACAGCTTTGGATCTCTCACAGATGGTAAGAGAGCTTGTTGTTCTACATCTGTCGTTTCTTCATCATAATCCGTCAGGCGCCTTCCATAGCGTTCCTGGATGCTTCTGGCTACAGCTTCAAGATCTTCATGATCTTCTTGGTGATGTGGCAGCATACGCCTATTACGCATCCTTCTGCCGTCATCTTCTTCTGGCAGGTCGGCTCCACCCTCAACAATAAAGTCTGCATGTTTAAACAGTAGTTAACTTATCTACATAAGAGATATATTTCACACAAAGTATGTGAGAGACTGGAACATAATTTACAAAAACTGCTCAATCATGTGCACAAGAGTATAAAATATATGTATCCATTCTTAGACATGTCCTAAGACAGATTAAGAGGCTTCAAAGTGATCAATTTATGTTGTATGTAAATATTTGTAAAATCCCTTCTCTTATGGCCTGCCTTCTAAAAAATCAAAACACCTTGGATTTTGAATTGTATTCCATTTTTTGAAAACTTTTTCTACATAATCTACTTTTGGAGCTAAATGGTTTTTAAACACATCTTACATGTTTCTGTTTTCTTTAACATGTTTTCAGGGATTCTCTACTCTCACATTAAACCATCATTATTAAGCCCCTAGTCAAATAGGGTAAACAGATGAGAGAATCATTATGCTATTTAATAAACACTAAGAAGACAGTGCTTTGAAAACTTTATGCTGTTTAATCAGCAGTTAGAAGATTGTCTTAAAAATAAAATTAAAAAAAAAAAGGTCAAAAGAAAGAGCGTATAAATTGCAATAGATCTCATGAAAATGCTTTTGGCCAATACTGACATACTTAATTGACTGACTATCACAATGACTGTTTTTGGTCTCAAATTTCAAAAACCAATAGTTTTTCTCAAAGCAAGTAGCTTATCAAACACTGAAACGATAAAAATCGAACTACAACAACCTCCACAACCAACCCCTTGCTTTAAAAACAGAAGACTTGAAAACCATAACCAATTTGCATAATTGAATATCAACACCGACAACAACATACTTAGCATTATGACAAAAGAACTACATCAAGAAGAAATTAACTGTGTGCTGCTGTCTGTAATATATAATATTTTTATCCTTCAGGACTTATCTATCAGCAATGTCGTTATTCAATTCATTATGTCGTTATTCAATCCAAGTAGTCAATCCCACATAGTGGAAAAAGGCTATTATTGTTATTGTGGTTGCACACATAAAGCCTATGACAATCCCCTATAATTTTTAAAATAACAATGACCACCCCTATGTAATCTTCTTAAGTTGCTTCTGATTCAATTATTTGAAAATTAGAGATTTTTAAAGATGTCCCAGGTGTGAATTGATTCTTATTTTAATTCAGGATTCCAAACATGTACTCCATCAATTTTCTAATTGCAACCATTTAAGGTGTCTTATCGATTTGAAAACTGAAACACCAACTCAATAAAACCCAGACAAATTAAATAGAAGACATGACTCCATATTTGTACCAATTATAAACAATAACACATTACCTCAAAAAATAACAAAGTTATCCCTCCCATTCACAAAGATGTCCCAGGTGTGAATTGATTCTTATTTTAATTCAGGATTCCAAACATGTACTCCATCAATTTTCTAATTGCAACCATTTAAGGTGTCTTATCGATTTGAAAACTGAAACACCAACTCAATAAAACCCAGACAAATTAAATAGAAGACATGACTCCATATTTGTACCAATTATAAACAATAACACATTACCTCAAAAAATAACAAAGTTATCCTCCCATTCACAATGACATTCACTTAACACAATTTATTGCACTAGTTCGTCCATAATTTAAAAAAAAAAATGAACAGTGTTGAAGGGAACCAATTTTTCCCCTGGTCCAATTAACACCAGTCAATCAAACATGATCCAAAGCAAGGATTTGAATGGCAGACAGACCACATCACGTGATGCAGCAAAACACCTCAATTACAGAAAAATGCCACAACCATATTAAAGTGAGTACAGATTGCATTAGCCCGGCTGCAAATCGCACTTCAACTACAATTTAAAATCCCAGTATGGCTGGCTCCCAGTGTCAAATTCCACTCCCATCAGAGCCACGATAGAATAAAAAAGCATGCCACAAATTATAATTCTAGAAACTTCTTGCATAATCAACAACATGCCCAACATAATCCAAATAAAAAAAAAAAACAGTCATATGCAGACACAGACACCGTCAGTCAAAATTAAAACTTAAAACACCTCAGTCAAAATTAAAACTTAAAACACCTCCCCAACGAAGGATTGGATGCATGCCTAATAGAGGATAAAATCATCCACAGCTACCTAACAAATGAAATACAAACCAAACCATAAATCCGAAGTTCTAACCCTAATTTCATACATCCCCGTTCATATCAAATCGGATTGATTCCCATCTAAACTAATCGCAAACGAAATTAACAACGAGAGAGGGAGGAAAAAAATGCACCGTCTTCGCCCTCTTCCTCTTCCTCTTCCTCATCGCTATCCACCACAGCCTCCTCGTCGAAAAAATTGGAAGCCGAAACCTTCTTGTACTGGCGCCTGCGACCACCCCGGGCATCGAAATCCTCATCATCGTCGTCCTCTTCCTCCTCATCTTCATCCACCTCCTCGGCATCGTCATCGATGAAGCCAGATCTTCTACGCTTCCTGCCGCCGCCACCGCCACCGCCACGTCCTCGGCGGTCGTCCTCCTCCTCTTCGTCGTCGAACTCAGCGACCTGCTCGTCCTCCTCATAATCGTCGTCGTCGCGGTCCATTCCCCGGTGACTCATGCCGCAAACGCAAACCCTAAGCTCGGGATGTGAGTGTTGTTGCTGCTATGCGTGCAAAGGCTACAACAGATTTATGGTAACATCAACACACACATACAGGTTACCAACGGTGCCCGTAAATAAAAAATTAAATAATAAATTATTATTACTCAGATGTGTACTTGAAAAAAAAAAAAAAAAGGTATATCAGCTGTAAAACTTGAAGGTGCCTCTCCTCTCTCACAGTTTCTCTCTGTAGCCCTAACGTCCCTCTCAATTACGAGGAAAAGAAGAGACGATTGCTTGACCCCTAATCCATCCATAAAAAATATTTGATTAATTACCACATTATAATAAATTAACATAAAGTTATTAGTGAATGAATTTTTAAATAATATAATTTAAAGTAAAAATTTATTTAAATAAAAACTTAATAAATTTATTTATTCAATTATACTTGTTTATATAAATTTAATAAGAGAAAATAATTTTATTTTATGTAATATAATTCTCTTTTCTTTTTTATTTTTCTTTTTTTCAATTATTTTTTTTATTTTTGGGAGTTTTTTTCTTTTTCTTCTTTTTTTTGTTTTTTCTTTTCTGTTTTTTTTATCACTCATCTTATTCTTTTAATTAAAAATATTAAATTAAAATTTGATGAAAATAAATATTTTATTATTTTATAAAATAAAAATATTAAAATTATCCAAAAATAATTTAATATATTATATTTAAAAAATATTATATTATAAATTTTAGATATTACAAATTATTGTGTTATGACTGTTAAAAAATTAAATGTATTTTAAAGTAATTTTTTAATAAATATTTTTAAAAAAATTAGGATCTTAATAATTTAAATTAGTTGTAATTAGATTACATTATTAAAAAAATTGTATTTTAATTTATTTATTATGATAAAATAATTTAAAATTAATCATTTATGTTATGGTAGATAAAATTATTTACTATCATCATAATTAAAATAATTAATTGATGTCATTTTAGTTTCAAAATTAATTTTAAATATTTTATATTAACATACTTTTATTAAATTTTAATTAAAAGAATAGATGAGAGAGTAGCGAAAAATATAAGAAAGTCACGAGAAGAACAAAGAAAAATTACATACTAAACAGGTTGACTTGATTAAATATATTATTAGAAATTTTAATTGTGTAATTTAAAAAACATTATTATTTCAGTGATAATAGTTAAAGTGATGCACTAATGTGAACAGATAATTTGAATAGATTTTTATATAATTTTTATTCAATGTGAATAGATTTTTATATAATTTTTATTTAATTAACACAACCCATCTTTTATAGGGTTGGATTGAATTGATGGAATCATAAATTTTAAAAAAAATATTAAATTTGTTTTTTAAATAAATTAAATTATTTATATTTATTTCATTTAAAATATATGTATATATATAATATAATAATTGAATAAATAAAATAATTATTATATTATTACTAATATTACAAATTATTTAATAATCTTTATTTAGTAGATAAAATATTTATTATTGGTTTGGGTTGGATTTAATCCAATGATAAACAAAACTCAATCCAATTTATCTGGATTAGTAGATTGGATTATTGGTTGATTGGTTGACCCAACCAATGATAAACATCACTGAAATTTATTAAATTGGATTAGGAATTCGTTCATTTATTAAAATTTAAAGAAGTCATTTTTCTTATATTTTGAAGATAAAATAATTATTAATAATATGGGAATTCGTTCATTTATTAAAATTTAAAGAAGTCATTTTTCTTATATTTTGAAGATAAAATAATTATTAATAATATGAGAAAGTAAAATTTTGTCAATGGAATAGTTTTAAATATTCAAATATTTTTTATAATTTTACAAATTAAATTGATTAATGCTTATGGTTTGAGTAATCCATTTATAATTCTATTATGTATTTTACTAAAATTATTTTTTTTATCGCATAAAAGTGTAAAATGTTTTAAATGTATCAATTGTAAAAATTGAAAAAAAAAACTTTTTTTCTTTCAAATGAAGATAGTACTTAACTTTGACTAATCAAAATTTAAAATTTATATTCTATGAAAATAAATATAAACTTGGCTTTAGTGTTCATAATAAACATTTTTTTCTATTTGTTTTGTGTATTTTAACAACATCACGTAAAGGGTCCTTGTTATTTACATAAGTGTAAATATTTGGTGTATGTAGTAAACGGAATTATAAAATGTAACATGATATTAACCACTAAAAACTAAAGACATTTTCAATGAACGAAACTAATTTAGGATTTCTTAATGTATTAAAAGTTGTACCTTGTGATCCGATAATGTCACATTAATCATATGAACCCAGTATCATTTTGCTCTAATGATAAAAATTTAAAAAACTTAATAAATTCACACATTTTGAAATAATCATTATGAAGAAATGGTTTCTTGTATAAAAATTCTCAAGAAACCCACAATGTCACATATTCTATTTAAGAAATATGGAAGAGATGACCATATTATAAATTATATTACCTTATCAAATGTTGGTTATTTTCACTTCTTTTTCCACTATTTTTACCTGTAATAACAAATATAATATTGTTTTTTACTTCAATAGCACGCAATAACCTCAATATATTTATGAATAGTATTTTGTTTAAATTATTTTAGGATTAAGAGCCCATAACAAATTTTTTTAGTCTTTTTAATTTTCAAAATTTATTTGATGTTAAATTAATTTGTCAAATGTCAATTTTATTCCAAATTGATAATTTAATAAGTATTTTTAAATTAAAAAAATATATCAATTGTCAACGTCAAAGATGATGAAATTTGTTGTTTAAATAAAAAAATACACTATTCAAATTTTAGCTAAAATGAATAAAGTTGAGGACAGCAAATAAATTATAAATAATAATATTGTTTTTATTCGATTAGAGGAGTTCGACAAAACGGTACAAGATTGGAACGAGGAGTTTGATAAATTAGATTTAAAATTACGATTATGAAAGTGACTTTTTTTTGTTAGATAAATAGAAGTCTATATTTAGATGACACTTAAATATTTAAGTCAAATTTTAGATAATAAAATAGTGTATTTGGGTATAATGATAAGGTAAGATTTTCTTTTTATTGAATATATTTATATAGGACCTAAATAACTCAAAAATTAATATAAGATATTATATAAAATAATAATAGATAAAAGATAATATATAACAAAATAATTAAATAAATAATAATAGATAAAAGATAATATATAACAAAATAATTAAATAAATAAAATGAATTAATCTGTATAAACTTATAAAATAGTTTAAATAATATATATATATATATATATATATATAGTTATTAAATTATTTTAAAAAAATCAAGAGTTTAAGAAATTATAACATATTAAAAAATTAAACTTATAATTTATTTTTTCATTTTTATATTGTTAGTTATGACAAAGTTTCTTATGTTTATGTCTAGCTAACTTTGGAGTTAAGAATGAGGTAAATATGTTTCTTAAACCTTAAATCTTATTTTAGTTGAATTTTTTTATTATTTTTGTATTGAATTTTTTTAATTTGGTTGTGTTGTGTTAGATGGGATCATTTCATTTATTTTAGTTAGTTGTTTATTAACAATTTATTTATAATTATTAATGTATATGAAGCAATTGGATTCAAAGGAGAAAACATGTGATATAGGTTTTAGTTACCTTAAGATTTCATTGGAAATGGATCTTGAATAGTAAAATTTGTAAATATATAAATTCATATATTTAATAATCATTAAATTTAAAATTAAATTATAAAGAGAAGGTTACCTCCAATAAATTCCACTACAATAAAAATATATTTAAACCAAAGAGTTTTTATCTATTAACGAGAGAGTAATTTTTAAATAGATTTACTTAAATTAGAGTGAAATTTGATTATTTCGGAACTATAATTAATCTTTGGGGAAACATATTTAGATTTGAGATTAATTATTACTATAGTAGAATACATTTATCCTTAAACACATTTTATGTGTCACCAATTTTAAGGAGATCCCTTAATCATGTTATATAATAATCCATCTATTATGTTTTGCATAAGTAAATGAACAAAAAAAAACATAAATTTAATTAAACTGAAGAACGAATTGAACTTAATGGTAGAAAATAAGGTTTTATTCACAAATAGGGATGTAATTATGTCTACCTAGTTGTGTATAAAAATTACACCAAATATTTCCTGAGAGGGATGTGATCATTCTAAGAACGTTTGAGAAACATATTATTATACAAAATTTATGAGATTTGCTAACAATGAGGTAAAAGAGAAATATTTGCCAAATATATGTAATATTTTCAAATTGATCATCCAACGTGTGAAAATATGAATTTAGGGTTTAAATGTTCAATTAAGAATCAATCAGGTCAAATCGAATTTAATTTTAATATTTTTACCAAATTAGTAGAAGTCGATAAAAGGATGGGATAATGTCTTGTATTTCGAACTTCGACTTTGCCTTCAACTTTAAGGATGTTGAATAACTTCTTTTGAAGAGAGCATAGACTTACCTATAAAAGGTATTCTAACGCTCAAGTCAGCTTTTAGACAAAAGATAATAACTTAAAATATAACAACCGATAAGCAAAAAAATAATATAATAAATAATAAATAATTAAATAAATAAAATAATTTTAATGAATTTGGATCTGACAGGTACAATTAGTAATAATGTTTTTTTATAAAAAAAATAATAAAGATTATTGTCATGATTAACATTAGTTATAATAAAAGTTATAAATATAAAATATATTAGATAATAAAAAAAATTATTAAAATAAGATAAAAATACAATAAAATAAATATTATTTAAAATTGATGTAATTAATATAAGATTACAAAATAAAATTATATTATATTTTTTATAAAATAATTATATTAAAAAAATTTATTATAAATATTTTTTTACCAAAACTGGTGTTACTAAAAATTTTAGTCAATTTTTTCATTTTTATCCTAATTTAATTAAAGTTTGATT